ATTGGAGACCTGGGACACTGGGAAAAGGGATGCAGGATGACCACAGTGTGTGAAATGAAACCCAAACTGCCCTGTGGGTGGGAGAGTGGCCCCAAAGCCTGCAGGAGATTTCCCAACTCCCCCAGCACCCATCTGTCCCTCTCCACCCTCTGCTCCTTCCAGCCCCTCCTAGAGCACAAGCACCAAGCAGGGCACAGGTGAGAGCAGCACAAACCCAAACCACAACTTTCTGCTCCCTGCACGTGTCTTCCTTGAGGAAAGGGATGAGGAAGAGCAGCCCACCATGACCTGAGCCAGGCATGTTTAATGCAGCAGCAGAAAGTGCTCAAATAGTGGCAATTTCAGACGTCGGAAGGAAGAAAAGTACTGAAAAGGGAGTATAAACAGATGAAAATTATGCCTTGTAAATGCAGAATTGAGGGCACCTACTTTGGGCTGCAGTGAGTCATACTAAGGATTGTAGGAGAGCAGCAATCAGCCCCAAAGTATTTAATTTCTGAAGTGAAAGTAACTTTTGAAACCAGAATTTTTATTTCCTCACGGGCAATTACCAAACACTTCAATTTCTCTGCAATACTTTTTTCAACACTTCTGAAAGGTGATAGAAGGGCTCCAGTATCAAATTAGCCATGATTTTTCAGAGAGAATGAAGTTACAAACATTTATTAGATTAAAAATAACAACAAAGCCCACCTGATTTTGTTATGAGAACTATTTGGAAGAGCAATCAGGTTTAAGGCAAATGTCAAACAGAAAAGAAACCCCTGAGGATGAAAATGACTCAGAATGATGCAGAGAGTGCAAGTTTGGGAATGATCTTGTGCATGAAAGGAAAGTACATGACCTTCTCCTGGCTGACTGTCACGTAGGAATTAATAGGGACTATTGGCAAATTCATAATAGAAAGAAAAAAGGCCAACAGCACATAGGTGAGAGACATCAGGAGACCTCATTGCTGCCTGTATTAACTGGGCATGAAACAGTACAAATGGTTATGATAAAGTGATTTTTTAAACATATTAGAGTGTTTTTTTTCTTTCAGCTTCACCATCCTTAGCAGATAGGGCTGGATTGCTTGTGGTTTTAGGGAAAGAGAGGAGGAGATTGTTTAATAAGGGAGTGTTAAAAGAAATGCACACACACCTGAAGTTAATCTGAGCTTTCTCCTAATAAACTTGAAGGCTGATGAGAAAAATGTGTTTGAATTGTGGCTGGGTGGGTGGGACTCCAATCTGGCTTTATTTACACTTGGGCAGCCCCAGATTGGCTCTGAGCTGGTTTCACCCTTGTGCACCACTCAATTCAAGAAGAACCTGGTAGGTTTGGGGTCGATTTCACTCAAATCATCCTTTCATTCAGGCAGGGCAAGGTGGAGTTCCATCATTTCCACCAGCTGCAAATCACCACCTGCAGCACCAGGGTGTTGTGTGTGCAGAGATTCCCAACTCCTCTGAGCACCCAAATGCCAGAGGAGCAGCCAGGGGTGGCAGTGGATTCCTGTGGCATGGAGCCCTGAACTTGTTGCTGCCCTGAGCTTCTGAATTTGTGCCCTGTTGCTCTGAGGTATGTGGTGTGTGCTGGAGGGCTCTTGGCTGGGTGGGAGCTGCCTGCACAGCTGCCAGGGGAGGAGAGCTGGGCTTGGCAGTGATGGTGGAACTGCAGCTTTGGTTTGGGCTTTGGTCACATTTGTTTGTCTGGATTGTGGTGGAGGGCAAGGGCCTCGCTGCCCTGCAGCCCAGAGCACCTGGGTTTGGTCTGGAAATAGTGGCAACTTTTCTACAGAGCTGCTTGTGAGTCAGAGCAGGGCTTAGCTGGGTTTGCCTTCCCTGCTCTCACACCCTGAGACTGCAGGAGATGCTCTTGTGTTTTCTCAGCTCTCTTCTGGCTCTGTGTCCTTTTCCTGTGGTAGGAGCTCACATCCTCCTCTCCTCTGCAGCTGGAGCATCTTGAGTTCACGCTGCAAGGCTTTGGATTAGGAAAAAGCAAGGAGGTCACCTTGGGGCAAGGGTCACAGTTAAGCACCAGGGGCTGGGTCAGAC